ATAGTAAACTCAGGATGGTAAATTCAGGAAATGAACGAATAAAACTTACATCTGAAATAATTTTAGAGTCGACAATAGGGAAAAAAGAAGGGGATGTAGTAATTTTATAATAAGGATATATATCTAACGAAGAACAGAAGTACCAATGTCAAGTACCTCAGGTGTCGCTGTTGGTTCAATGGTTTTTTTCTGATTTTCATGATTACAATAATAGGAGTAGGAAACCATCCCAACCAGCGCAATCACAATCCCAATAATGTTCCTCCAGCTAAATGGATCGTGTAGTAAAACATAACCGAATGCTAATACCAGGCAAGTTTTCAAATGCCCAAGAACCTGATAGGTGACAGGAGATGTCCTTCCAATCACAAGGAATGTGCTAAAATTAACAGAGACAGAGATCAAGCACGAAAGTACAATAAAAGCCTGCAATATTGACAAAGAATTAGGCCTGAACATATTTTCATGAACACAAAGAAGTATTACTTTCAGTAGTAATCCTCACCAGTACATCTGGAGTATACTTGAACGTGAACACATTTTGATTGGTCAAAAACTTATCCAGAAATGGACCAGATATGAACAAGGTCATTGCTTGATATGGACATGATTGATATAAAAGCTGGGTTGAAGAAACTTTATATTTCTTCTGGATTGTATTCGTCATCTGAGAGAAACTAATTAAGATGCCAAACATGTCATAATATATGCAAAACAAAGAAACACATGGTCTAGGATAGAGTCTCTTCAAAAGGCTGCTTAGGTGTCTTAGTTTAAACAATGGTTCGCTGATTAATACCAGGTAGGCCATGAACTCTCAGCAGGTGATGACGTATTTAGAGAAAGACAACAGAACACGCCAAGATGGTTTTAAAAACAAAAACTAAGCATGGATTCAAAGGTTCATTTCTGGACAGAGATAAGTTTAGGTATCTTGTTTTGAAGTGAAATCTTCAGTTTGCTTTTAAAGTAATCCCTCCACTATGATTGACATATTATATTTTTATAGGTCTATTGTATATGTGCAGACATGCAAACAAATCAACACTTAATTATTGGACAATTGAATTTACTTTTACTTGCAGCAATAAAAGATCCCTAGAACTCCATGATTTTATCCACTATTTCTGCAAGATGCTCATTTAGTCTGACATTATTCAGACATCCCAATGAAAGCAGTTGCACTGACAGAGATCATTAATTCAAGTTCTGCATAACTATGTCACTACTATTAGAAACCAAGTATTAAATGATAAGCATGGTTTAATTTGAAGCAGAAAATATTCCTTTTGCAATGTCAATCTATGGCCTTTTCACATGAAACATATTGACTTACTAGGAAATGCATGTATCACATTCATTGTCTGAAATACTATGACATCAGACTGACAAACAACCATGGGCTTAAGTTTATGACTGATGAAATGCTTCTAGCAGAAAACTGTCTTACAAATTCATCTGTATGCCTGCAGTTTTAAACACTGACAGGAAATAATGCAGTCAAGTTAAAGGATACAATCTGTGCTATGCATGTTGTAACAACTGCAAGCAAGGACAAGACAGAGCCCAGGATGTTGAGCTGCAGATCTGTAACAGTAGCAATTCCAACACCCAGAAGGAGGATGGCAAGAGAAAACTGAACACTCCTACTGCATTAATGAGAGGAAAAAACAGAACAAGGTTGCATGAATTGACCAGGCAAAGAAAAAGAAAACAAGGAACAAGACAATTATGAGAAGTAAACAGGAAAAGTGATTTCGGTCCAAATAATGATTAAGAGCTTATAAAGCGCAACACTACGAAAGTGGCATTCTGCTTTTACAAATTTAAAAAAATGAATACAAATCCTATAACTCTGAGATATCCCCACAAAAAAAGGGCATAATTCGAAAAGTGCATCAATTCTTCATATACTCATTATATAATCAAAATGTGGCTGTACAAAGTCATGCATTACTCTACTAAAAAATGTTGAATCATAAGATGTTAGGCTAAAGTTCACAGTGCAGCAACTTTATTTGTCCACAGGAAGATTTGAACTTGCCAGAAGGTTTACCTGATCAACTAGATTTTGTTGTGGAGGTATCCTAATAAGGAATAAAGCACCACAAAGAAAACAAAAAGGACGAGAAATTTTCCTGTTCAGAAGCTGGCAATTCTCCCTAAAATTGTACCTATTAACAACAAATACTTGGAGGATTTACTATCATTACTTCAAACTTTGCTTCTTTTGCTTTAAATGGTTAAGTTGAAAAAAAAAAAACCTGAATCTCTTGCTCAAGTAAAGGGTCTCCAACAGCACAGTGCAAGGGATGATTGCCAGCTTGGTCATCTACACAGAAGTTGTAAAGCCATAATTCAGAAACCCCACAATGTTTCTCAACATATAGACTAATAAAGGATCAAATGAATGATAAACCCAACCTGATAGAAACCAACTGAGTTGAAACCCAGACTAAGGTTTAGCAATCCAATTGAAATCCCATTGAGAATTCCAAATCCAATTACAGTTCGTGGATCAAAAGGTTTGTGTTCAAACAGTTTCATCCACAGTGCAACATGCAGGGAACAGAAGGTGACAAGCAAATGCCAGCTTGTCAGAGTCGTAGCTGCATTTGGAAAGTGCAGAGACTGAGTCATAAAACACAAGTATATCCTGCCTCTTTTTCAGTTTAACGTTTTAACAAAACAAGGTCTTATGGTAATCAAGGAGCATATAAATCAGACTTGTAATACTGTAATTAACACCACAATGCAAATAAACTATGTTCTGACTTATGTATTTTGTAAAGTCCTGGCTTTCAGCTTTCAAATCACTGATCGGGTTGGATGAATAAACTCCGATGTCCAAAGACGGTAGGAAAAAGAAAAAAGAAAGAAAAAAGATAAATGTGGAAGAAATATATTCTGACTTGTGAAGATAAATCTCCTATAAATGCATGACTCCTCGAACTACAAGGTACATGACAACTTAAATTACTATTGACATCTAATAAAAGCAAATAATTGACATTCCAAGTAAAGAAACAGACTTTAAAAACCAGATTAACATTACAAGCAGTAGTTTAGTCCTTCATGATGGTAGCCCTTGATAGAATAATTTTTCATACTTTGTAAAATAAGTGGACACTCACCTTACCCTTCCGAATAATAGTACAAGAAAGTATACATAGTCCAGTGCAGAAGCAGCCAATATAATTATTACCCAACAAAAAAAAAAATACTATTCTGTATTCTGCAGATGTTACTCTTCCACAATCCGATCCCTTCTTATTACATGAAATCAGCCTAAATAGAAGGTCATTTAGACTCATTTCTCCATTAAGTATCATGAAAGAAGCGGTCAGCAACGTAAGGAATTCAACTGAGTTTAAAATATGTATGCATATATACTAGAAGCGACTAAATCCATTTCTTTTAGGATAATAGATAGTTAAAGAGTACTTGCAACTCACCAAAAATGAAACCTAGATAGCTCATAAGCGCTTTATTGCAAATTACGATCGATACTGATGAAACCACTGACAGGCCCAAAGCACCAATGGTCCCAAGCTGAAAACTCTTGCTCTCACTCATCTCTGCAACTTCAACCCTCTGCACATTTTTCACATCACCGAGAAAAGAAAAAAAAAACACAGAGAAAATAGAAATACGATCAATGACTAACCAAAAAATTCACACCTGCACTAGAATTTTCAAGTAGATCCGGTCCGAGCAGTTCGGCACTTCCGTGTCCACACAGGGCTGAGCTTTATCAGGAGCGGAGAAGCTTTAGTATTTGGGTACAGAAGTTCAGAGTTTTGTTTTGGAAGTTGAGGACTTCGCCGTGTAGATGTAAATTTAAAACCGATTTAGGGCAAACAGGTGAGCAGTCATTTTTTGGAGCCAGTTCAACTAGAGTTGGTTGCAACTTGCAACCGGGGGTAGCGTGGAAACTACAGGTTTCTGAATATGGATAGACGGTATCCGCTTGTCTTATAAAGTTTGCAGTCAAATTATCAAATGCGAGAGAGGGAGGAAACGGGAGAGAGAGAGGCGAAGACGTGCTTCCATTTTTCTCTTCTACCACCGTGGAAAGCGGAGGTTACGGTCTTCATTCAAAATTAACAAATGCAAAACAACGACGAGTGTGGTGCACACGCGCTGACTTTAAGAGCGTCGGGACTCGGGAGCTGTTGGCAATGCATTATTGTCTAGACAAACTTGTCTTTTCACTCTTTTGGTAGTTGAATAAAGGATTAATTACAAATCTCCGAAATAAACTATTGCTATTTTGTTATTTGCCCCCTGAACAATCCATCACCATATTTTGAGCATCGAATTATCAACTTCTTGTGGCATGTTGATGAAGTTGACGGATGAAAGCTACTGCTTTGTCTTCTTCAAAAACTAAAATGGTGAAAAAGTAATTAAACTGACGCGTGTCACATATATATATATATATATTGAGAGAATATTACTTTGCTTGACAAACTCATCTCAAATAAGAAGTTAATTACATAAGTTGTTAAGATTTAAGAATTGTTATCGACTTGATTTTTGCTTCCTGGAAAATTAATAGCAAAAGCATTTTATTGAATTAATATGTGAATTTGTGACCATTATGCAAATTAATTGAAAAAAAAAAAACAAAGATCTGCCTTAACCTATTTTTAATCTCCTCGTATTACTCTCTTATAAATAATGATTTGCGTTTTTCCATGAAAATGATAATTCAACCTAATTTTATTTGCTAGTTTTTTTTTTTAAAGTAGTCATTTTGTTTTGTTTGGCTTGGAATGCATTAGAGCTTTTTGGGCAATGGAATCATATTAAAGTCATTTTTAGTTTTTTTTTTTTTTCGCGTTCCAAACACAAAAGATGGGGCATGAGCAACTCAATGGTCACAATTGATATTCAAGATATGATAGGTGTTACATGGTAAATTGACAGTAGTGCAAGGGGCATTTTGCAATGATTCGATATAACAACACCTTCGAGACGGCCAGGGTGGCGATGTCAACTGTGGGGCTACAACGACGTCGTTAACCTTTGCTTTGAACCTCTAGTTCTTGAAAATTCTACAACGACGTCGGGATTGATTAGTTGAAAATTCTTGGAAGCTTTTTGTTTGTTTAGTTATTCCCTGGAGTCAAAACAAACTTAATATATAGCAAGATGATGATGACGACTCTCCAATTATTCCGTAATTCATCATTCTTCCTTGTTTAATCTCGTTTTTTCCAGATATAAAAAGATCATCCTCTACGCAATTACAGGTAGGAAAAGTAATAGTTCAGTTTGGTTCGACGGATTTTTTCTTATTTGTGGGTTTGATTAAATTGAACTTCTGACTGACTTCAGGGTTTTGAAATTTGTGCTTTTCTACAGAGTTTTAAGTCGTTCAGCTTTTAGTGAATTGAAGAAGTTTTCGTGCAGTTGAGAATCTGATGGAGAATTCTGATGATCCATGCGATGTAGTGGTGAACGGAGATGAAAATAACAGACATGACAGCGTTCCGTCGACGTCGACGAGTTCTTCGTATAAATTGTTCGGTCGTCAACGGTCCGTTCACCAGATGATGGGTGGCGGTAAAGGTAACAGCTGTTTTTCTTTTTCTCCCCTTCTCTTTCTTTTGTTTCGTTTGGTTTCCCAAGTCTGAGAAATGTTCATGAGAAATTATTTTCATTGTATTTGCGTGCGTGTTTGGAGCAAAGAAAAGTTTTATACTAAGTAATAAGATACTTTGGTGCTGGAGAAGGTGACATTTTTCGCTTGACAACTAACTAACTTGGTATACCGGCTATCTTAAATCTAGATGGACTTGCATGTCTGACAGTCCTCTTTTTTTTTTTTTCCTCTAAGTTAAATAATTAGGTAATTGGAGAAGTTTGTAGATGAGCAGGATCACTGTTACATGGAATGACTACCGTATGTAATTTTACTGGTCCTACAATATTTTGTAATGTATGCTTGGTTTAACGGCAATCGGTTTCCTAAAGAATGGGGTTCATCATTCCTCAAGGAGAATTGTGTTTATGTAAAAAAGACATTTGAATATAAATTATGTGGTTGAATCTTGTAGATCATTTTCCTTTCTATGAATTTTAGATATAAACATAGTACGGATGAAGTGAATATACCTATTGACATTTGAGCTTTTAGACCTTGAATATTGTGGGAGAGAGGGAAAATGAATACTTTACTCTATATTGGGAGTTTAGTGAAGAAAAAAAATTATGATGGGAAGAGAACAGAAAGAACAGAGAAGAATTTTTGTGAACCCACTTTTTTGCTTTGAAAGAAAGGTTAAGAAGCTTTTTAAGTAATTTGACATGTTAAACCTCTTTTCTTCGGTCTGGATCACAGCAAAGCAGAAAACAGGAAGTTTAATTTCTTCTCTTTTCTCCCTGTTTCCTCCTAGTTGGAAAGAAAGCAAAATGAATTGATTCCTCCATTTTATTTTTGTTTCTTCTCTTTTCAATTCTTTGTGAGCTTTCATTTCAATCCATTGTTCTTCTCTCCATTACTCTCCTCAAATCTGAAGCCTAAGGGAGTGTTGTCTTTCGATCAAGTTGGACTGAAAAGAACTGAGAGGAATTGGAAAAATTGAGTCATAAAATTTTGGATTTAATTTCCAGTGTGATAGGCTGTGGTGATTGGCGAGCAAAGGGAAGGAAACGGTGGGAAAGGGGGGAATAGCTTAAGCAATATGTACTTAAGTTTTGGTTTCACCCAGAAGCCTGCAAAAAAATGGGAAAGGAAACCAGTATGTTTAATTCCTTTTAACGTAGCTAAACAACCTTCTTTGTCATGCAGTGGTTCCCGTCACTTCTTTCCGTTTTGCTAGGAAAGAGTATGTTTAGATCCTTTTAGTTTCAGTTGCATATAAGGAAATGAACACTACCTGTCTCCTTTCTCTTTCTTTCCTTTATCTTTTTCTGAATGTTGAGCCAATTCTTGCTGGTAATCCAACAATTGGGGAGACATGGATATGCTTACCTGATTCTTGATACTGTTAGACATTTATTTCCCTGTTTGCCATCTCTGTGCATATTCGTCTTGTTTGTTCAAAGGTTTCACTAATTGTTATTACTACTGCAGCTGCTGATGTTATACTATGGAGGCGGAGGCGTGTCTCATGTGGCTTAATGATGGTTGCTACTGTTGCATGGTTTTTGTTTGAGCGGTCTGGGTTGTCATTCCTATCAGTTTGTTGTGATATCTTGCTAATCCTGATTGTGTTGCGGTTTCTTCGAGCTAACTATGCTGTTCTTAGGGAAAGGTGCGATAACCTTCACCAATATCAGTTTCACATTTTCTAGTTGCTTTAAGTGTGAAAATCAAGTTAACTCTTTCCTTTTTCTTTCTCACAGACAACTGCAATCCTTGCCTGAACTCGTCTTGTCAGAAGAAATGGTGAATAATGCTGCTGCATCATTTCGTGCTAAAGTCAATTACATGCTGCTTATGGCCCATGATATCACCCTTGGCAAAGATTTCAGAGTCTTTTTCAAGGTTGGTTGTTGTGGAGTGTTTGACTAGGGAAGCTTTCTAACACTTCCAAGTGGTCACAGAAAATAGACAAATATTACTCACCCGCAGATTCATTTCCTACTTGCATTTGGAATCTTCCATCCAAATATTTATGTCTGTTATCTTGGATTTAAACTTTTTGGAAAATTTGCAGGTGGTGATTGCTTTGTGGCTCTTGTCAGTGATTGGCAGCTTAATATCATTCTGCACTTTGGCATATATAGGTACATAATGTTAACCATCTGCTAACTGGATACTTGAACTCTTTGTAGTGATTTAAATTCCTGTGCTTTTCTTGGTTTCATTTAGAATACCACTGACCAGCTGTGCCAATGCAGCTGTACCAACTTGGCTTCTTCTAGACTATAAGGATCATGTTTATTTATGGTCATCATGCACTTCTGAATGAAAAGATTGAAATTTTGTGGCAAAGTTTCAAACTGTAGTAAGCATGTGAAGAATATAGTTAGCACTATAGGCATGACTTGTAAAATGTATGCGGACATTTTGGGTCCATTTTCGTTTTTTGGCTTTTCCTTTTCCATTTTCACCCTTGTTTCAGTGTGTTGGTTGGTTGGGTTGGTCTCATGAATGAGGAGGAGCTAACGGCAGAGAGAAATGATTATGGAGTCTAGGATGGTTTTCACGTTCTTTTGGAATCTTATGTTCACTTTCTTGACAAAATGTTTCCCTTTGGCAATTTGATTACAGATTCTGACCTCTGTGGGTTACATTACTGTTGTGTTTCTTATGTCATGACGAATATTGTGCTATGATGAACTTTCACCTTTAAGAATGGAGGAGGATATGGTTGATAAGAGTTTTGCATTTGCATTGATGACAGGAACCATTATCTTTATTACACTTCCTGCTTTATACGACAAATTCGAAGACCGTGTGGATAGGTACGCTGGAGTGATCCACCAAAAATTTTCAAAGCACTATAAGATAGTGGATGAGAGTGTCATTAGCAGAATACCCCGGAATTTGCGTAGGCACAAAGATTTGTAGAATTTGGCCATCCAGACTGGACAAGTTTTGATAGCAAGATTCTTTTGTAGCAGGGTCTCCTCAATTTTGGTACGATCAAAGATGGAAATTTTGCCTTGGTTTAATCTACCAACAACAAAGTTTCCCGGTTTCGGCTTTTCCACGAAAACGAAACGAAGCCCAGTTGGTTGTGAAGTTGCATGCTGCATTCAAGACCAGTTAATTGCGAATATGTATCCCGTATCTAAGCCTTGTCGTCGTTTTTGCTTTGTTGGATTTTGGGTATTTTTTTCACATTTGTTTCGCTCATTCTATTTGATATTTTATCCTTCAAACTGTTGCAAGAATGTGTGTCCGCAGACATCCGGGCATGCCAATCTTACGAAGTCCATCTTATCTTCTCCAGCTTGTAAATCCTGCTTACTTTACTGGTCATGGAACATGGCAACTTGCGAGAAATTCTGATTTATTCACAAATACAGGATGCTATGAAGAAGCCATTCAGGCTGGCAATTTAGCCTCACATGATTAATCGTTTGCGAAAATTTACTAGCTTATATATAAGCGACTTCAAAAACAGGATCATATGATATGAACTCTGAAATTGCTCAAGAGCTTCAACCTTTGGACCAATTCTGAAAGTGGGCTTCTCATCTTCAGAATTACCACCACTTGAGAAAACACAGAGATGGCCGGTTTCTAGGATTAGATATGATGTCAACGCAAAATGCCACACGAGCATTATTATCATATGCACAAGAAGCCACGAGTTTTTGGATAGATCATGCTACATTAGATACACTCCTTACCTCCTATCAAAAATCAAAAGTTCTAAATACAAGCCACCAATTTTTCGACAATGCTCCTGGAAATTTATTCGCAAACTGATCATTAATATCCTCAGCAAATAGCCCATGAACCTCGGAATAATTTTTAGAGACTGATGCAAGACAGCTCAGATGCCTCATTTTTTATCAACCATATCATCAAACCACCGGCTCATGAATTTGAAAGCAATTCTCTGGCTGCCTTCGACCAAGCATTGTAAATCTCATCTGAGAACAAGACAAAGTGGACCTGAAAATGAATGAAGAATGGCATCAAATTCTGAGCAGCCTTCACAGATACAAGCAGAGAGTCAGGAAAAGATAACGGTGAGCTTGCCTGTAAGCAAGCATGCCCCTATATCTAACCCCATTGTCGTATTTTTTTCAAATTCTGAAAAGTGATCTTATTTTTGGGACTGTAATAGCACATGCGCAAACGAAACTGTCTAAGCAAAATTATGTTCCCAAAGATGAAATAGATATATCTTTTCTTACCACTAAATATAGTTCTTTTTGCCAACTATTTGATGATTGCAGTAATTATTCAACATATCATCATCTAGTTGGCAACTTACTAAGGAGAGACAATATTCCTACTTTTTTGGTTCCAAGGCCATTTTTATTTTTCTAATCATGGCATGGCCCATAGATTTGCTATCTCAAACACGCAAAAACCCTTTTCACTCTACACCTCAGCTCTTGAACCACATTGAATTAGTAATTAAATAATCTTCGCTTGACCTTTCAGAGCAGTTTCCCCGCAAAAGCAAACAAAGATTAGCTAAACTGCAAGTAATAGTTGGTGAAGTTCTGGAACACCATAAGCTAAGTTTTTTGACACTTGACAACTGAGAAAAGAAAATTTATTGGTCAAGGCATGTAAACTGGAGGAGAGGTGAAAATGTTCTAATACCCTGTTTGTACTAATATGATGGAGAAAAAACTCGAACGTGGAACAATAGGATTGAGTCTGAAATCCAATTCTCAACAGAAAAGTTGTTTTAAGTGGCTGCACAATATCATTCATCATGACAAATCAAAGAATACTACTAAGCCATTGCTTTCAATCAAATATGACATTCTATACTTTTACTCATCTCCAGTTGCTATCTTTTAAATTAGGGATACTTTCAGAAACCTTCCTTGAGGTTTCTGATAATTTCACCCAGCACACCTTTAATTTGACAAAAATTAAACTGACCTCGCTTACTTTATGGTTTTTGGTAACAAATTTACCCCCTCTCAGAAAAAGTGAACAAAAAAATTAAAGGAAATTCTAAGAAAAACACCATTCTGAAATTACCCTTAAAGCTCTCACAATAAATTATGGCACATAATATACCTAAAAATTTGGAATACAAAATGAAGAAAAATCAGAAATTGGTCCAACCCTTTTAGTAGAAAAATCAGAATGAGTAAGTATCATATCTGTTGACTGGCAGGCCCAATATAACTGTTGCCAACGCAACATTGTTTCCGGTGAGGAACTGGATGAAAAAGGCAGGATATGCAACTAAAATTAACATGCCTTTTCCTACTGAATTAAGAGGTAAATAAGTTCTTAGCTTTTAAGTGCAGCAAGCCAAGAAACTAAAGGCCTAAGAACAGTTCTTCAAAGCATGATGGCAAGCTACAGAGAGAACTCATTTCAACTAGCAACATACTTGAGGATCAACATTCGCATTTGTAGTTATGGTCATAAAGCAACATTATGAGTTTCCAAGAGCCAAAACAATATACACAAGATATACTTTTGCTGGTACAAAATGTTATTTCTTCCATTAGAGATTGTTTTAGTAAAATGAATAGTATTTGAGTAAAATAAAGAACTAATATTTTGCAAAATCACCTTGCTTTGAAAAAACTGTTTCACTAAAGGTACTATAGACAATTTGGGCTTTCTAATTATGACACTTTGTCCCATCAAATTGACGAGGGAGGTTAGCGTAATTTTCAAAATTAGAGGGGTGCTAGGTAAAATTGTCAAAAACCTCAAGGGAGGTTTCTGAAATTATCCCTTTAAATTAAGTAGATCCATCTTCTACAATGTACTCATCTTGGTCACCTTTTATGCGCATACTATCTTTTCATTTTGACCTATCACCTGGTAAGCAACCAAAGAACTGTACAGTCTTTTGCAACCAAATTTGTAATCCAATGCACAAAATGTAGAGAAACACAATAAGACAGTTAACTCAAAATAGGCGTACCTCTTTGAGGCCATCAGCACATTCCCTGACCGTAGAGATAGCCACAAAGGCAGCTTCATCAGAGGGGTACCTGAATGATATTTTGAAAAAAGAAGTTAGACTAATTATCTGAGCTTTTGACAGCTCAAGATGAAGCAGGAAACCCAAAATGCCAACTTTACCTGAATACCCCACACGATATGGCTGGGAAAGCAATATACTGAATATTGTTCTCTTTAGCTACGCGTAGACTATTTCTGCAACAAGTTCCAATAAACAGATGGAAATTTGTTAAACAAGGTTAGAAATAAGGTTTCAAATAAAGTTGTGGTGTGTTCAGCATACAAAACACAGTACCTATATGCATTTGCCAAAGAAGCCTCAGGGTTTCCATCGACATCATATATGGGTCCAACAGTGTGAATCACATGAGATGCAGGCAATCTAAAACCACTGCAATACACCATTTGTTAGCAATCCAACAATAAGTTCGAGGAAATCTACAATCCAATGGACCAAAAAAGGGAAAAAATGAAGGGAACGGAACAATGCATTACGGTGTAATCCTTGCTTCTCCAGTAGGGCAGCGGACTCCAGGTCGGACTTCAGGAACTTGATAGCACGCATCTCGTAGTTCTGGACCAGCAGCTCGATGTATGGCTATAAAACAACTTAAGGATTACAAAAGGACAAATTACAAGCTATGCATGGCAGGGATCACAACTTCACACTGCATGTAATCCGCACAGACAACATAACTTACCTCCATCAGCACCACCACCTCCAAGCATTAGCTCATTAGCAGGATTAACCTAATTAAACCAGTTCAATCAGAAATGGAAAAAAAAAACGAAAGGAAAAAAAAAACTCTAATGTATGCTCAATCACTTTACGTACTATTACCTGGCATTTTCTACTGTAAAGAACAAATTTGGTTAGGTTAATTGCAGAATATAACTTACGATGGCATCGGAGGCTCCATCAATTGACCACTGCGTGATATCGCCTTTCTGAATTTCGAGGGAACAGGCAGGAGACAGCTGGAAACTGACTAATTTGCTGCCGTTATCTCCGCCATTTGACAGTGTTGAAACCCTAGCGGAGCTCAATCCACCACCGTTGGCGACGACACTGCTCTGCTCCATTGTGTTCAAAATGACCCTAAAGGGCCTGATCGGGATTTGAGCAACGAAGAAAGGTCTCCTATGAGGCAGGTTCCACCTGGCCTGGTGAAGTTGTAAATAACGGGGGTTTCTAGGGATAGTTAAGGACGATGAAGAGAAAAGTCGAAGGAAAAATCCAGAAGTGGAACTCGCCAGTCTCATAGAAATAGTGGCAGTAATAGAAGAGAGAGCGACTGAAGAGGAGGAAATCATCTGCTGACTGGTTGACCCTCTACGTTGACTTTTGGCGTGGGGGGGGGGGGTGCAGCCCTTTCTATAATTATTAGTACAATTTTCCACTAGGGATGTATTGGGCCTTAGCCCGACCACTCGGCTTCACTGGACCAGCAAATGAAATTCTACCTCGCAATACAATAACGTGAGTGTGGTATTGTGGTAAATGGGTTTTGATTTTTAAGTACAGTAAATGCAACAACTCCGAGATATTTGGTTTGCTCAATAAATTTTTTTTTTTTTTGTATTTTTAGCAAGGGATGGGATTTAAGAAACAATGAGAGGAGGAAGCAGAATTTGAACTCAAAATCTTTTCTTATAGTTTCAACCTTAATTTACTTATAATATATATTCTTCATATTCTAAAAGGATATTTAATCCGGTTGTTTATTTATCACTGGCAGTGAAAAAATAACATAACTTATTATTGACTAATTATTTACTAGTGTAAAACAATAATTATATATATTGAACCAAATTTGAGACAACTATACAAAAGAGAAGGATATGAGAAATTAGTGGTATAAATAAAGGCAATACATTAAGAAAAATAAAAAAAGGAAGTTTAATTCGTATTCCTATTATCCATTTTACATAATTTTATTCTAATTCGCTTCTCACTTCATTCCTAAAGTCTCAATCCGACTATTTAAATTTTACGAGGCTATAATGATTTAAATTCCAAACATTACGGACTAAAGTGCAAAATCAAAATTGTTGGCTAATGGTAATTAGATTTTGATTATTAGTCAATATTGAATTTCAATTATTAGTCAATCGATTGAATAATCAATTAACATGCATACGTATGTATTGCATACTATACATTTTGTTTGCCTCAAAATGAAATACTTCATCCGAGCTCCATTTATTTAGTCATATTTGGGAAATTTAACTTTTTTAACGATAGTGGTTTGATTGTGATGTTTGTGTTTTTCTTTTCAATTTTACCCCTGTAAGTTCAAATTTTAAATTTGAATAATAACATGCATATGATTAAAAAGAAGAGATATATTGAAAAGAGAGACTAAAAATTGTTTTGATTTTTCCAATCCCAAAATAAAAAAAGTAAATTTTTTTTTTTTGAATAAACCGGAGAGAAAATGTGAGTTTGTTACTGAAGTTTCTTGCACGGTGTCCCTTCGGGGACATCCGATAAAATTGGAACGCTGCAGAGAAGTTTCTTGCACGCTATCTTTTCAATTTGTCATACATGGGTTTTCAGAAAAGAAAGAAATCGCTCGATAGTGATGTGATGTTTTTCACCATGCTGAACATAAATAAACAAGAACTGAAGGACGCCCAAATGGGACTCGGGGCTGGAGCGATTGTCAGTACAATCGTTACGGAAGCTTGTGTGTATTTTGCACGCGATATAACACTAGAACAACAGTAAGTAATATTAGTACAATATTTTATGAATTTCACACATATTAAAATCTGGACCTTACCAATTTTATTGGCCAAATCTTGGCCATTAACTTACAGGGACGGTAACTTACCGTCGCTGCCCCTCTCCCGCCCAAATGTAAGATGTAGAGCGCCTGCAAGTGATCAATCAGGTTACAGTTCACGAAAAACATGCATATGGAATTGGTTTCTCACCAAATAGCATGCGTTCTGAACCAAAAAAAAAAAAAAACAAATCATAAATGAATTAGGCTATTCAAATAGTAGAAGAACTGTAGAGGTACCATAATTGTCTAGGGCCCTCCAACTTTTTGCACCATGAAAGAATGGTTAATGATTATGTAGCCTAACAAGCAATATTTTGAATCCCAGAACACTTTCTAGCGGGTAAAAGGGTACTCAAATCTGGCCCGTGAAAGTTCTGAAGAGGAGACAGACCAAATCACATGGGCAGGCAGGTCATTCACTTCACTCTGTGAGGTTGGAGCAATGACTATGAGGAAGGAGGTGCTTTTGCACTGCTAAACCCGCATAGAATGCAATTAAGAAGCCACATTTCTGGGTCTGAACATTTACTCTCGCACCAAAGAAACTGTTCCTTATTAATTGGACTTTCGATCCAATGCGTCAATTTCCACCTTATGAGAAAAAAGCCAATGAAAAGAGCCTTCTTGACTGCTGAGCGAAGAAAAAGATAATTCAATCATATTTGCCTGCCTCAATCCGGCAACTGCACTTAATCAAGGGATAATTCTACAAGCTTCAACCGGCTTACATTCTATATAGCCACCGATTGAATATCACTTGTGGGGGAAAAAAAATGTAAAGAAGAACCTAAACATATATATATATGAAATCCACTCCTAGTATATAGGTAGGCCTAAGCGGGTGCTTAACCAGCCACCACAGCAATAGAGCCAAAAGCCCTGAACCTCCTCTTCCAAACCTACACACCCTTTATATATAATGCCATATACAAACAAAACGCAAAAGCCTAATATTAATATATTTGTTTTTCAAAGACGGTGGAAACCAGCAATCACTATCCGTCAATCAAAAGCTTCACTCTCTCTGAAATTTAGAACTGGCCCCCCTCAAATGTTTGCCCAAACTGCCAATTTGCAGGTGCAACATTGTAGCTGGTGAGTGTTCTGCCATCACTGGTGGTGATTTGGAACGAAAGAGTCTGGCCATTCAGGTAGGAATTGCTCTGCCAGTTTTGGCCCCAGTTTCTTGACATGGATTGCCACCCTGTTCTAGACCCCTTGATTGCGACAGTATGAACATCCCCAGCACCAGCAACATTGGTAACCAGGACCAAGTTGAAGTAGGAGTGTCCATTTATTGTGTACCTTACTCCTCCCTTCTTGCTGCACGGTACCCTGTCAAGAATCGCAGAAACATTTATCAGCAAAAACAATACTATTAATATACTACTACCCAGAAAGCGTTTATTTACCGGACTACACTAGTCCCCCCCCCCCCCTCCCTTTTTGTTTTTTGTTGGGAAATTTATACCTCTGGAAAGAGACGGGAACAATTCCAGCGCGGTACTGGGCGATTTGCAGGAAAGCAGGCTCTGCCAAATCAAAGTGTTGGCGGGGAGGATTGCACCAGCCACCATTATCGTTGGGCAGAGCAGGGTTAGGAGGGCAGAAGTTTGTGGCCGTGACGGTAATGGTTCCCGGTAGGCATGCTTGTGGGTCAGAATCACATCTGATCTCGTAGCATGATCCGCAGGCCAATCCATTGTTGAATAGAGCAGTGCTTAGTGCTGCAGTGTCCGTACCATAGCCCTGGCTGTACAAATTCCCATATCCGCAAGCGCCCCCTGCATGCATTATTTGACCAACCAAAATTAATAATTAATATTACTTATTGAGAAGGCTAATGATGGTTAAGAATAATATAATATACTAGTTTTTTTTTTTGGTTGTTGTTGTTGGTAAGGAACTCACGATTTATTTTTTTATTGAGTATAAAAGAATGATGATTAGTTATTATTACATACTTTTTGGTCGTATAAAAGTCATAATGATGTGTAAAAAGGCAATAATAATATGTAAAAGGAAAGAAAGATCAAATATACACTATAATTAATTTGTTGAATCAGAAGTTTTATCAAGGGGACACGTACCCATTGTGCCAGAAGCATCACCCCCTCCATAGAAAGTAGCATGAGCGCTTTGCCACCCTCCATAGTCCCCAAAAGCTGTAGGAATGCACATACTAGTTACTACTATAAAGAAGAAGAAGAAGAAGAAGAACAGAGGAGACGAGGAGGAGGAGAAGGCCATTGGAATTGGAAGAGAAATGAGAGGAAGGGGGGGTTGGGGTTGTCGAGGTACTTTGGGGGAACTAGGAGGAAGTGCTTGTTTGGTTTGTACAACGTTTGGGAAATGGTGGCCTCTTTATATAGGAAAAAAATCGAAGGTGGAAAATGGATTTGGAGGTGGGAGGGATAGGGGCATTTGCATATTTGGAAGAAATATTTTGTTGTGGTAATAGAAAATGACGTGTTAGAGCAGTGGTCACGTCGAAATATAGGCCAATGCACAAAAGAAAGAAAGAAATAGTACTACTAGGAGGAGGAGGAGCAGCAGCAGTAGTAGAGTTGTGTCGCGTGTGATAGATAAATTTTTAAGTAATTTATTAGTAACAGCATACAACGACTGGTAATGCACATGCACTTGTTCCACTTGAACTACCAACTGCTGAAGCTCCATGGCCCTACATGCACATGCATTTCTCAACCGACTCTTTCTTTTCCACCCCCCTCCCCCAATTTTCTTTCATAGGAGTATAATTTATATGAATGATATCCTCAAAAATAAAAATAAAAAAAAATTTAGTTTTTCCTGCTTCGTGTGAATACAGATATAATTTTCCCGCTGATATATATATATATATATATTACTGAATGCATGGATTTGCCTGAAATCGCGCCAGTCAGTTAAGTGGGTTGCGTGGAACGTTTGGCTGATAGGGGGGGGGGGGGGGGTTGCTTTGAATGTTGACTCTTATGATTCGTTTTCTCTGGGAGCGGTAGCTAGCATTAGCAAAAGGGTAAAAAAAATGGTTGACGGGCAGATTTCTGACCGACTCGAAAGTCACAATACTCACATTTGAATGATTTGGATACAATTCCAGAATGCATTCGACCAAGAAACCTTTCATTAATTAGTAGTAGTATATATTTCTCTCTCGAAAATGTAAAGGCTGACAAGTTTCCTTAGTTCAATACGGTTACCACATTTTATTAGTTTACGTTAGTTCCTCCAGACCAGTAGTACAAAAGCTGTAGTATTTTTATACCCTAGACTTGTAGTTAGTAAATAAAAAAAACCAACTAGGTGCAATTAGGATGACGGACTGGAGGATAGGGTCGGTTTAAAATCAGATTTCTTTTTTTGTGTTTTAGATTTGGTATGGGATTAGGACTTTTAAGCGGAATTTGAACACAATCAGATGAGATGCACAAAAAAGTCCAAAAGATGGGGTTGTCAAATTTTTCTAGCTGTTATTGGTAACCGCCACATTATTGCATCGTTTAGCACACGTGGTTAGACGGAAAGTGTGCAATTATAGATTATTAT